TTTGTTGCCACACTATTTCTTGAAAAAGCGATTGTCTAGAAATGCGATTGTACAGGTATAAAAAGGTATATGAATTTGCTGAAAAGAGCCTCTTTCACAGACAGACTGCGTGATTTATTTGATTTCATTAATGTCTCGATGGGGATTAAGTCACGAATTGAAAACAATAAACATCTGAAAATAACTAAGTATTATATTTTCTTAGTCATGTGACAAGTGTTAAGAGATATAAAAACTTCAACTAGAACTGTAAAACATGATGAAAATATCTCTAAAAGATTCACCTAACTTCTGAAACATTTTATCTAAATCACATAAGTGTGAGTACGTTTCATAATAGTATTGGACACGTTTTAACACTAAGGGGGATAAACGATACTGACTAACTGACTGACTGGCTTCAACAAAGAACTTTGCACCGATGTGTAGCAGTTCGAGTTGTCGCACTCCCTTTATATAGCACACACAGCAAGAGGAGAAAGTAAAAGGAAATGCAAAATAGAGACAGTAAACAGAGATATGAGGTAAAAAGAAATAGTTAAATCGAAGAACAATATAGTTTTATTGGGTATCGTAAGTCACAAGGAGTAGATGCAACTGCGCCATTGAGAACGATTTTGAACCAGCCATATCACCACCTGTCTCCAGCCTTCATTGGTGTTTACCGTCCCGAAGACCCCAACCATGAAGTCTACACTTTCCTACGTGACTGGCTAGCTTAAACTAACTGTTGTGGATTTCATTAACTGATGAAGCTAGCTCTTTTCCAACATGATCCTATGTCAGTCAGCTAACATTGCCTGTTGTCGAGGAAGGTGATGAGTGACTAGGCATACGTAACACATGTCCTAACCATCTCAATCGGCGTAATTTAACAGCCTCGTCGATTGATATCCCCTCCTTACTTAGCACTCCACCGATGCCTAACGTCAATATCGCTCACCCTATTATACCACCTAACACGGGAGACAGGACGTAGGCATCTGTGATCAAAGACAGCTAGCTGGCCTTTTCATGTCTTCCACTTTAAATCTTCGTGTCTCGCTTACAGTCATAAAGGGGGACGCAGCGGACTGGTGAGCAGTACACACACCCTTTGGTCGACAGTCACCCGGATATCTCGTCTACGCCAGACACAGTGTATACTGGCGTAAGCGAAACGACTCTTCTATATCCCTGCTAAGCTTTTGTATGTAATCAACCCGTTGGCTCTCGCTGTTGCAACACCCGAAATAAGTGAAGTAGTTAACACACCCCAGTAACCACTTCACCCCCTATCTTTAAGCCGGCTAGGAATCAATGTAGTCCAGTCCTGTAACATCATCTTACATATGACAGGAGGAAATGGCATACGAACATTCGTAGATTGCAGCTAAAGGTGTTCAGAAGACTCTGCCCTAATTTGTCAACGTCTTCACACAAGTAGGAGGACTATATCATCTGCATATTCTAAGTCAACGAGATTATTCCCTTGTGGTTACGAGTCGATCTCTGAGTCGCTGAAGTCAGCAGTTAGTACATCTATGATGAAATTGAATAGAAATGGGGATAGTGAGTGGCCATCGCTGACGGACACCATTGAACTGGTTGTCACCACATCAGATGACAACTCGCTATAAGCTCTCACCTGGCTGACTGCATGAGTTCGAGTAGAGTGAGTGCCTTCCTTGATCAGTGCAATGTATTTTCTCGCGGAATATTCATAAAAAGTACTATGCACCTCTCAGTAGTAAATTTATTAATGAAAACAAACCACTTAGTTCAGTGAAGAGTCTCTTCTCTCTTCATTCACTTTGCTGTGCAATCGCAATTATATCCAATTATTTTCGTATGTGTGTGTGTGTGTACATTAGGCCAGGTCTCACAGTCCTTGTTTATGGCTGTGAGACAGTGGAAGACATGAAAAGGCCAGCTAGCTGTTTTTGATCACAGATGCCTACGTCCTGTCTCCCGTGTTAGGTGGTATAATAGGGTGAGCGATATTGACGTTAGGCATCGGTGGAGTGCTAAGTAAGGAGGGGATATCGATCGACGAGGCTGTTAAATTACGCCGATTGAGATGGTTAGGACATGTGTTACGTATGCCTAGTCACTCATCACCTTCCTCGACAACAGGCAATGTTAGCTGACTGACATAGGATCATGTTGGAAAAGAGCTAGCTTCATCAGTTAATGAAATCCACAACAGTTAGTTTAAGCTAGCCAGTCACGTAGGAAAGTGTAGACTTCATGGTTGGGGTCTTCGGGACGGTAAACACCAATGAAGGCTGGAGACAGGTGGTGATATGGCTGGTTCAAAATCGTTCTCAATGGCGCAGTTGCATCCACTCCTTGTGACTTACGATACCCAATAAAACTATATTGTTCTTCGATTTAACTATTTCTTTTTACCTCATATCTCTGTTTACTGTCTCTATTTTGCATTTCTTCTTACTTTCTTCTGTTCTGACTTCGTGTGCTACATGGAGTGTAGCGACTTGAACTGCTGCACATCGGTGCAAAGTTCTTTGTTGAAACCGGTCAATCAGTTAAACATTAGGCTAGTCCTAATGGAATAAAAATAAGTTAGGGTTATTGTTGTGAAGATATTTCATAAATGTGATGAGTAATCTAAGTGTAACCAGGACAAGGGAGTGAAGATTGGTAAGAGGGTAGTAGTGATGCGTTGTCAAAAAAACATGGTTATTGATTTTAATCAACACATAAAAGACATTGAATGATCGTAAGACAGTCACGTGATAGGATGATTTATTCGATGAGTGAGTTGTGATTAGGATGCACATAGCAACAAAGGAAAATACGGAATTATGTATGAGTTCTAAAAGTGTTATAAGAAGCCAGACGAAAAACAAGCACACAAACATCAAGCCAGCAGGAGTCAACACGGATGCTACTATGATAGTAGAAAGTGGTTCAATAATTTTCTTCTTGTATACATAACTCTGATTTCTCCAGGTGAACGGTTAAGGCTTCAGCAATACAAAGGAGATGAAAGAGTATTTCCTTTGGTAGGTTGTCCTTTCACCTTGAAGGAGGCGTTTGTTGAGTTGGAATGACCAGTGTTAACAAGAATTTCGATTATCCCACTCCTTATACAGCCACTATTATCTTTCTGCAGCCATGAGGGACAGTATTTTTGAACCCTTTCGAGCAGGATTCGCATCGAACTGCCAATGTAACTGGCTCCACAGCAACAGATGAACTGATATATGCAAATAGAAATTGCTATATGCGGGATCTTGTCCTTAAGGCATCTGCAGATCAATGGGCGAATGGAAAACACTAATCTTAGAGTTGCTACGAAGAATGTTCTTTTGAAAGATGCTGAAATTCTTTTCTTGAGGATATCACAAGCTATGTTTTCCTTCGAATCGAGATTCAAGTAAAGTGATGTTTCGCTCATGTGGACGTTCATCTGTCGACGAATCTTGGCGGGTATCCATTCTGGATGAATGTTGCTTTCAGAAGACCCAGTTCTGCTTCCAAGGCATCGGGACTGCAGATGCATCGGATTTAATCAGATTTCGTTTCCGTTCAGTGGGTACTCAACTGTAGAAACTTGTTAGTTAAACGTGTTGATTAAAATTAATGTGTTTTTTTTTTTGACAACACATCACCGCTACCCTCTTACCAATCTTCACACCCCCTTCCCTAGTTGCAATTTGATTATTCATCACATTTTAGAAATGTCTTGACAACAATAACCCTAAATTATTTTTGTTCTTACAACAGACAACGATTAGCATAAATGGGAGGAACCTGAAAGAAACAACCTCTTTTACATACCTACCTGGGAGGCATCGTTTCAACTACAGGTGGAACTGACGGGGATATCAAAGCAAGAATCGAAAAGCAAAACAAGCTTTCACTACTCTCAAGTCTGTGTGGAGGTCAACAACACTCAGCATGAAAAATAGGATCCGGATTTTCAACTCTAATGTGAAGTCAGTCAGTGCTACTCTATACGGATCAGAGACTTGCACTGTGCGTCATAAAGAGCATCTCAAACAAACTACAGACCTTCATTAACAGTTGTCTTCGCTCAATGCAACTCAAGATCAGATGGCCAGAAAAGATCAGCAACAGAGATCTCTGGGAGCGAACCAACTCAGCAGGAACCGATTGTGAAACAAATATGCAGGAAGAAATGGAGATGGATTGGATTGGCCATACTCTGAGGAAACAATGCATCAAGTGACATCACTAGACAAACCATTCCTCGAGTGGAACCCGAAAGGGAAGCGGCAAGTTGGTCGTCAGTGCGAGGGTGGGTGACTTGGAGGAGGCCATGTGAAGAGGAGATGAAAGCATGAGGGCAGACCTGGAGCCAGGTGAAGACTCTAGCAGAGAACAGAACGCAATGGAGACGCACGGCTGAAGCCTTATGTTCCTCTAGGAATTAAAGGAAACAATAATAATAATAATAATAATTTTTGTTCTTATCGGATAAACCTGATGTACACACACACACAAAAATAAGTATATATAATTGCTATTGTGTACAGCTCTGTGTGAATGAATTCACCGCTGAAAAGAGTCTCTTTTCGCTGAACTACACATTTTGTTTTCATTAATGTTTGGATGGGGACTATTCATGCAATAAATTTATTGTTATTCTATAAACATCGGGAAAATGACCCAGTTATTCTTCCAGAGGATTCAAAGACTTGGGTAACCATGACACGAAAGTTATTTCCAACAACAAACAGCCTACCGCGTCTTTTCATCAACAGCTGTTTCTGATGGTCGGATCAAAAGCGATAAACAACGAGGGATTCTACTAAACAGCGAATCTCTTATCCAATATAGATGCTGAACATTAAAATAGAGATGGATTGGACATACGCTGGGGAGGGGGGATATTCAAGTGACATCATAACATTGGTACTAGACCCTCATGCAACACTCGAGCAAGAAGTAGTGACGAGTAGTTAAGCGTTTAAGGCTTAAACATGAAGAAGATCGTAATAAAGAGGAAACAGGAAGCATGCGGAACTACATTTCATCCAGCAGACAAGGAGTGAATGTACACAAGAAAGATAGCCTGTATTTTACTAACTAAAGACTTTTTATGATCAATAGCAGTTGAATGTGTAATAAAAACGGTGTATAACCGGATAAAATAGAGAACAGTAATACTTCGCTTTCCTTCTCGATAGAAAGTATACAGAGCGAAAGAGAGGGTGAAATGAGCTGCACAATTTCTTTCACATTGATAGTACAGCATCAACCATTTTACCAATACCAGTGTATACTTCAAAGATAGTAGCCTTTGAAGACATATAGGCTGGTGTAGTGACAACTTTTGCCTTTGAATCTACGTGGATATCCTATTATATGCGTAGTAAATAATAATAATGATAATAATAGAATTAAGGAAAATATTTTTTTCAAAACATAACAATTCAAGTATAGATTTGTAGGGATTTGGTTGATTAGTTACAGCTGAGCTGACATTGGTTAGAAAACCATTGGAAAACCCGGGAGTACTGGACAGCGGTTTCGTCTTAGTTTGGGACTCTTCAGCAGTACGCACTCACCACCACGGTTCGAACCCAGGACCTTCTGGTTACAAGGCGAGCTAGCTCGTAGACCATTAAGCCAGCCAATGGGACCCGATCCAATGGCCAACCCATGAATTCTAACTTCTGCCAATTCACGATATAGCGCGACTGGCACTAGCCAATGTCACCAGTGGCGCGCATTTGTCCTCACAGCCGACTGGTTACGCCTTCCCACTAGAACAATTAGAAAATTGTTGGTTTGCGAGGATTAGATAGGCTTCAAGTTGGAACACGTGATGACATCAGTTAGAGAACCATTGGACAACTGTTTTGTCTGAGTTTGAAAACCTAAACACACCTGACGGAGTTCGAACCCGAAACCTCCCGGTTACGAGGCTAGCTAATAGACTGTCTAGGCGACTGGTTCAATACAGAAAGTTACCTCGAGTTGACAAGTCGTAACCAGTGGGCTTCACCGAATCTGACAAGTGAACAGTTCCTCGCGAATGACGTTGGCTGACGATTGCGCTACGTATCGTCAAGTAGCAGAAGTTGGAATCCATAGACTGGCTATTGGATCAGTTCCCAGTAACTGGATAGTCCACGTGCTCGTTTTGTAACCAAAAGGTCCTGGGTTCGAACCCCAATGAATGTGTACTGATAGAGAGTCACAAACTAGAGTGAAATAGCCGCCCAGTACTCTCAGGTTTTCAAATAGTTCTCTAAATGAAGTCACCTCGTGACCAAACGTTTAACATTCAGACACCAGAAGATACCACAATAGATAAACAAGGCTATTATTGCTGGGAGAATAGTCTAATGAAGAATAGTGAAAATATTCAGGATGTAGAGAGCATGGCAGGCAATGGATACATTTGCACCACTGCAAATAGTTTTCGATAGTCTACATCTTCCTAGATGGTTTACACCAATAGTCCATGACTTCCTAGATTCTCCAGACTTCGTCATGAACCAGCATCAACTGGAAAACAGCCAAAACTACACAGTTGTTTCGTCTGGTTTGCATACTGTAAATTAACAAGATCTTTCTATGAAAGCAAATTATACCCTGAACGGTTGAAATCAAACACAATTACATCCATCGATATGTGTATAATGAGTTAAAATGTGAAGAACACCAAAGGAGTAGAGTTGGCACAATGCTTTCATGAAAAAGAAGGATCAAAGGATCCTTGATCCCAAGGAGAGAATTCCCCCAATCTATAGATAAACACACACACACATACACTAGTACTATTGAACAGGGTTGCCTAATTTCACTGTCTCTTTTCAACTGTGTCGTTGATGACATTTTAGAGACAGATCTGAAGGAGTGGTAGTGAAGATCAGCTACATGGAGAAAGGCTTTTTTATCTTGAGTATACAGACGATATCGTCTTAGTGGGCGATTACCACACCAGCCGCCTAAATAAATCGTACATAATTAGTTAATCGGCAACCAATCTACTTCGTTGCTATGTGTATTGTGATTCATTGTTTCTTGGGTGCTAGCTCACGAATCCTTCTAATGACTATTAATAAGGAGACATTATACTTATTCTTATGCAGACGTTGCAGATAATTAGTTGTGAAAGAGTAAGTGGGGAGTTTCTTCCATCTGCATTGCAATTTCCTGAAAATAACCAAAAAATTCCTACTAGGAATTATAGGCACAAACATAAAAGTATAATAGAGATGATTTGTAACTAAGATGGATGGTTTTGATGTAGTTGTGTTCTCTGAGTTGTATGGTTTATTTGCGAAGCTTTCATTGCTCTGCTAGGCAACATTTTCAGCGTATACCTCTATGAGTTTATAAGTCATCCCCCTTGGTGATCTTGCACGGGATTGGTTGCTTTTCGACGTATTCAAAAAGAATGGATATCCACCCCCAAGCCAACCTATCAAATCGAAGGCCCCCAAGGAAAGAACAAAGAAAATCGCCCTGCCATATATAAAGAGCATCTCAGAAATCACTGCAAGACTCTTCAAACCTTTAGGAATTGACGTGGCATACAAACCAACAAAATCATTTCACTCAGCCAGCTCTGTGTCAACCAAAAGACTCAACAACGAAGGAATATAAAACCAATATCATCTACATGTTACACTGTAACAACTGCGAAAAAAAACTGCATTGGTCAAAGTGGACATCCCCTTCGTCTTCTTATCCACGAACATAAGCTAGCCGTCAAAAGAAATGACATTCACTCCCCCACTCATATCACTGCATACAGACAACCACGGACATCAATTCGACTGGGACAACCAGCGCTCAAATTTAAGACAGAGGGAATAGCAAAAATGCTAGAGAATTTTTAGAAGCCAGCCTGGTGTTCCAGTGAATCGTCAATCTATAGACACATAGACCGACATAGACAAAATTTATCAATCGATAAGAAGGAAATCTCACACACAAAGGGTCAAAGTTCAAGTCAAGGAAACAATCAGTACCAACACCACAAGTAGCCTAGAGGGTGTGAAAACACACAAAAACAACCAATCACGTTCAAGTTCACCCACCAGGAGAGATGAGTAGTAATAAACTCGTGGACAGAATCTAAAAGCTCACTTCAACAAATTGAAGTAGTATGCGCTGAAGATGTTGCCTAGTAAGGCGATGAAAGCTTCGCGAATCAACTATCCAGCTCAGAGAACACAACTACACCAAAAACAAACATATAAGCACTATGTATTGGGATATCCTTTGAAAACAAAAGTGAGGAAGAGTGAGTATAAACACCCCACATAAACAAACAATGATAAGAAAGAAAATAAATGGGGACGGCGAAAAGGATACAGTAGTATCACATGCAATATGATTAGCTCCCATTTTTATGACTGCCTGATGAGCAGAATCAGACTTTTGTTCACTTTCTTTACCAAGTGTAATTTCCACACCAGGAATACATCGAGCAGCAATGATAGGAGCAATACAACAAAAGCTACAAAAGAAAAACAAAAAGGAAGGGGATGACACATATATGTAGAGACAGAAAACTCATTAGTTATTGGAAAACAGCAACAGGGGTTCATTAGTTGACATTTTATTCAAAAGAATTTAACTATTAAATATTATATAAAAGTTTATGTATTTCTCAATGAATGAAACACAAAACTATGTTGCTTTTATTTAATTCAATTTTAGATTTTCCCGTCGATTGATTGGACCAAAGTGCTCGGTTTCAAGTTGATATGTTGGCTTCTTGTGTAGATGCTTCGACGATGTCTGGGCAAGTAATTAGAAGTTAATTGGTAGATGGTGTCTAGGAATGGAATCCAGGACAACCCACATTTCGTCCTATTTGGGACTCGTCACCTACTGAGTGTACCTGCATTCCGCAGTGAGTGATACTGTTCCCACCGAAGCCGTCGAGCCTCGGTATCCACTAGACCACTCGGGCCACCTCTTGTGTGACGAGGCCCAAGTGGTCTAGTGGATAACGCTTTTCAGTTTGAAACCATGGGCCCTGGATTAGAGCCTCGGTGGGGACATTATCACTCACTGCGGAATGCAGGTACATCAAGATGACGAGTCCCAAATAGGACGAAATGCGCATCCTGGCTTAATTCCACAGCTAGTCACCACCCACCAATCAACTTCTATATTGCTTATATATTAATTTTTTTATTAAATATATACAATCAGTGAAACAGTATTGTTATTTACTGGATGACAGTGTTTCGAACACAATTCATTATTGTTCATTATAATATCATCAATTATAATCACACAACTTCGAAACTTTAGTTCTATAGTTTTCTTTATTTTCTCCTATTTGTCGTCGTAGGGGTAGTAGAATTTTCCAGATGCCCAGATGGAGATACGTATCGTTCCTTCACAAGTATTTCCAGTTAATTCGATAAATGAGGCCTCCGTTATCAATCTCTCTCCCTTCACCCCATTACATTAGATTTTAAAACTGTCATCTTATCCCATCCTCCTATTGTATGGTTGTGTGTAATTACATGCAGTTCTGTGGCTGAACTATTCTCCAAATTTCTCATCTTATTAGGGTCAATCTAATCTAACCTATGTATTTGACCTGAGGATCATTGTAGAGTATTAGATAAACTAAATTGTTTTTTTGAATTGGCTCCAGTGGGATCCTTTGACCCAGAATATTTGTTTCTAAGTAAGTTAGTTTGTGGGTTTGAATGCCAGCCACTTTTATACCTGCCAGTATTGTTAAGAATTTTTCGTAAGGTATTCCTTGAGCGCTGATCACACCACCAAGCAGTTTGTTCAATCATTCATCATTGCGGATGGCCAACTGCAATTGATGAGGGGTGATACGGGTCTTCTTGTTGCCACGGGCGGCATTATCAGCCAATTCAAGTACTTCAGCGGCCAGGTACTCGAGGACGGCTGCCAAGCAGACGGTGGCTCCAGCACCAACGTGTTTAGCATGGATACCCACCCCTGAGTAACAGATGATGCACACGACCGACTGGGAACCGAAGACCAGTGCGAGCATTCATGATTATTGAACGTTAAAGAAGACAAACGTGTACATAAACTCAATTAGGAACAAGCTTTTTTGGTTCAAGGATCAAACCTGATGAGCCATTAAAACAAAACAATTTAGTTTATCTAATTTTTTTCCTTCACGTTCCCCAGTGGAACATAGGGCTTCAAGCTTGTGGCTGGAGGTTTCTCTAGCAGTTCTACAGGATGAAGTTTCCAGCCTCATGCCCAACCTTTCCTCCTCACCAGCTTTATTTCTGGCTTAGCGAGGTAAAGGAGTGCGTCGGCCGGGAATCGAACCCCGGACCATGTGCATGGTCGGCAGGCGTCCTAACCGCTATGCCACTGACGCTCCAGTTTATCTAATACCCTTCTGGAATGATTGTCAGGTCAAATATGTGGGTCAAAGTAGTAGAACAGGGGCAGTCAGACTAACCGAGCATAAAAACCTAGCAAAATCAAGATTGGTTGACTCGAATAAGATAAGAAATCTGGAGAATAGTTCAGCTGTAGATACCACTACATGAAATTACACACAACAAGACAATTCGATGGATGGGATAAGATGACAGTTTTAAAATCTCATGTAACAGAGTGGAGGGAGAGACTGATAACGGAAGCTTTATTTATCGAATCAACTGAAAACACGTGTAATTGGAATGATGCAACATCTCTCCATCCGGACATCTCCAAAATTCTGCTAGCCCTCTCTCGAGAGAGAGAGAGGGACTGCTACACGCTCAAATGACACCGAATCTCTACTCACCAGTATTCCACTTCATAAAACTGTTGATTGCATTTGTAATTACACCAAAAAAACACAGCGAGATTTGACTGCCTTTAAGACATTCACACTCAGCATTAGAAAAATCACTCTAACATGTACAAAAGATATATACCAGATTTCACATTGTAGAGAAAGAAATAAACAAGCAATCTATCAAATAGTTTAATGACTTCAAGCACCCTCAGGTCCTCTTTGAAGTCGTAGATGGAAGTCAAAGAGTGTTTAGAATGTTTAGAAAACCTCCAACTATTTCAGATACGTAAGAATTACAATCAAATAAGTAAAGTGGGCTGTCCTCCGACATTTCAGTTGCTAGGTGGGACAATGAAACGATTAAACAATCGATGTTCCTCGAACAAACATGACACGCAGTGAATAATACATTTATTCCAATAATTTTTTCTTTTCATTCAGTATAAACGTTCCCCCCCCCCACATATACACACATATGTGTCCCGTAGGTGTCAAGAGCCCATAAAATTTGCACTACGTATTCTGAAATCACTGTACCAGAAAACTACCCATCAACAAGACAGAATGGGTAGCAAGAAAACCATCTTCGATAAATTACCACTGTCATGACACCTTCTGGGATCGAATACGGAACCTTCAGATTTTAAAGCCAAACTCGCTGACCATCTACCTATACCAGAACCCAATAGTCCATGAATTCTAACTTCTGTTAATTCATGATTTTTAACGCCACCGCCAGAGAGTCCGCTTTGTAACTGGCAGGTCCTGGGTTCGATCACTATCACCAATGGGGTCACTGTTGAGTACTGCTAACAAGTCACAAACTAGGACGAAACAGCTGCTCAATACTTTCTGGTCTTCACTGCTTGCCTAACTGATACACCAATGTGTGATAAAAAAATTTGGAACCAATCAAATCCCTACAAACTAACACTTGAAAATTACCACTGAATGGAGAGGAGATCGCGCAATTGACACAATGAAGGCTTCGTTCAGTAGCTATTAAGCACACCTGCTACACTAAATATTTCCTCTTGGCTTCTTGGACTATTTGTTCTTCCTTGCGGCAGTGAATAAAATCCGGAATTATGTTGATCCTGATCTCCACGAGTTTATTACTAGTCATCTCTCCTGGTGGGTGAACTTGAACGTGATTGGTTGTTTTTGTGTGTTTTCACACCCTCTAGGTAGCTACTTGTATTGGAACTGATTGTTTCCTTGACCTGATGTTTAACCCTTTGTGTATGAGATTTCCTTCTTATCGATTGGAAAATTCTGTAGAAGTAGAATTTACTGGGACAATGTTCAAATATTAGACAGAGGAAACACTGAAAATGCTTGAGAAATTTTAGAAGCCTCCCTGGTATTCTAGTGAATCGTCAATCTATAGACACATCGACCGACATAGACAAAATTTTCCAATCGATAAGAAGGAAACCTCACACACAAAGGGTCAAAGTTAAATTCAAGGAAACAATCAGTACCAACACCGCGAGTAGCCTAGAGGGTGTAAAAACACACAAAATCAACCAATCACGTTCAAGGTCACCCACCAGGAGAGATGACTAGTAATAAACTCGTGGAGAGAATCTAAAAGCTCGCTTCAACAAATTGAAGTAGTATGTGCTGAAGATGTTGCCTAGTAGGGCGATGAAAGCTTCGCAAATAAGCCATCCAGCTCAGAGTAGACAACTGCATCAAAATCATCCACCTGAGCTACAAATCTTCCCCATTATACTTGTTCTGTTTAAATCAAAGACAAAATACGAGATATATAATTCAGGATCAGAATTTTACAGCGATGATGACTGGCTTAGCTAGGGTTAAGGATTATGTGCAAACAAGCGAACGAACGTAACAATGAGTGCATGACGAATGACGTGGATGCTTCACCGCGAACCTTCAGCTCAACGAGTCAAATTCAAACGGTGAAGTTTAGCATCCACTGTTGAATGATGAATGCTGTAGGCTAACCATTTTAGGGAATTATTTACCGCCAGTCTCTTTATCTGGACAGAAACCTAACACCATCATCCACAAGTGCACAGCATTTATTAATATCTCTGTTCATGAAGTCAATATTGGCAGTGTAATTGTTTCTCAGCTATTTTATTACATAACTGTAATTTAAGGTGATTAAAGGCGATGGAAGAACTGTCGACAAGTCACGTACATGCCAAATCATGTGTGTTCATCAAACAGTATATTTCTGCTTTGACCTATCCTGAATGATATAACCTATTAAAATAAGGTTAGTTTATTAATACGTTCTTGTATTTTATACACGTTGTCATTTATGCTAAGTGTAACGCAAATGTTAAGGAATAACAAAGAAATGATACTGTCATCATTTTTTAATTGCCTTCTTAAACATTATTTTACTCGCAGCCATCCACCTGACGCATAAATTGATTCCATATTAGTTAGTTTATTAGATATATCACCCAGTCAGTTAAACAGTTTTATTTACTTGATGACACGGTTTCGAACAAAATTTATTGTGGCTCATAATCACATAGTCAATTATAATCACACGACCTCGAAACTTGAGTTCTATAGTTTTCTTTGTTCTCTCCTATTTCTCGTCGTAGGGGTAGTTGAATTTTCCAGATGTCTAGCTGGACAGGTGTTGAATCATTCCTATTACACGTGTTTTCAGCTAACGTTATCAATCTCTCCCTCCACCCTGCGGTTGCATTAGATTTTAAAACTGTCATCTTATCCCATCCATCGAATTGCTTGTTGTGTGTAATTTCATGTAGTGCTATCTACAGCTGAACTTATCTCCATATTTCTTATCTTATTCGGGTCAACCAATCTAGATTTTGCTAGGTTTATATGCTCGGCTAGTCTGACTGCTTCTGTTCTACTACTTTACCGTATGTAATTGACTTGAAAATCATTCCAGCACGGTATTAGATAAGCTAAATTGTTTTGTTTTAAAGGATCCACTGTCAGGATCCTTTAACCGACAAAGCTTGTTTCTAATTGAGTTTGTGGGTTTGAATGCCAGCCACTTTTATTTCTGCCTTGCTAAGAATTCTCCGGCGTAAGGTTTCCCAGGTTCTTTCCTTGTATGGAATTACTACTGGTGATTTAGATTCCTTACTGCTAGTGTTGTTTGACCCGCATGTAGTCATTAATATTACCATCATTATTATTATTATCACTAACATTACTATCATTATTTATCTTATTTTTATTTTTGCATTTCCCTACATACTTTCTGACTAATTTATCAAGGTAATTATTAAGTTTCAAAGCTTCTCTTATATGCCTCACTTCCTGTCTTAGATTTTCCTTGGTACTACTTAGTTTTTGTGCTCTATCACTTAATAGTAATGATTCAACACCCGTCCATCCAGATATCTGTAGAATTCTACTACCCCTAAGACGACAAACAGGAAAGAACAAAGAAAAATATAAAACTCAAGTTTCGAAGTCGTGTGATTATAATTGGTGATATGATTATGAACCACAATATATCTTGTTCGAAACATCATCCAGTAAATAATACTGTTTAACTGACTGGGTGATATATCTAATAAAACAAACTAATATGGAATTCAAGTGTTGGTTTGTAGGAATCTTATTGGTTACAGGATTTCATCATGAGGTGACATTGGTTAGAGAACCACTGGAAGACCTGAAGGGAGTACTGGACAGTTAGCTGTTTCGTCTTAGTTTGGGACTCTTCGTCAGTACGCACCCACAACCACGGTTCGAACCCAGGACCTTCTGGTTACAAGGCGAGCTAGCTCGTCTACCATTAAGCCTCTGAGACCCGATCCAATGGCCAGTCCATTAATTCTAACTTCTGCCAATTCACGACATAGCGCGACCACTAGCCAATGTCATCGGTGGCGCGTATTTGTCCTCACAACCGACCTGCTGCACCCTACTGGTCACAACTTCTCAGTGGAATTACTTACTACCAAAATGCCTAAGTTTTACACATATATTAGCATAAATGCATGGTTTCATTACATCACTAACATATCTTCAACTTGGCATTTACAAAATTAAATAACATAATTCCTTGCAGTGTTGCCTTCACTCCACACTGATGATGATCAAATGTTCTGTGAGAAAGGATTAACAGCGACAAGGAATTATTTGGGTAGGGGCAACGAAGAAAACCCAACAACCTAGTGCTCAACAAAAAATATGTCGAAGAAAATGGAGATAGATTGGACGCACATCAAAATGAGGAGGCGCCATAGCCAGTGACATTAAGCGTCAGGTGGACGCACAAGTGAGAACTGAATGTGAAATGACGCGTTTGAGGATCATCCAAGGGTAGCATGGAGGAGATGAAAGCTTAAAATCGATTGTGAGGACAGTTAACGAGGATTGCAGAGAACGGAGGGTGAAATGGACAAGTGTTACTGAGTCCCCCCAAAGTTCCACTTGGAACCTAACGGAATAATAAATAACATAACGCTCAAAGCAAAAAGTCTAACAAAACTTGTGGTGATATAACATAGAGAGACTAATTAGGAAGATATTAGGGTCAGGTTAGGGATGGATACATTAGGGTGCATCAGCACCTCTTGGTGTGAGTCGGTGGCACAGCGATAGAATGCTCGCCGACCATGCCACACGTGGTTCGGGGTTCGATCCCTGGCCGACGAAGCACTCCTTTACCTCACTAAGCCAGTAATAAAACTGGTAAAGAGGGAAGATTGGGTATGAGCCTTTGGCTTGAAGCCGTATTTCCCACTGAGAACGTAAAGGAATAAAAAAAAGAAACTCTTTGATGTCTGAAGTTGAACTATGCTCCAACATCTGTTGTGTGAGAACACAAGATCCCACAGAGTTTCTCGTTTTGAAATGGAATAGAATTTACGCTCCAACACATTGAGCACGCAATTCGCTCCTGTCAAATATAAGACGATCATCCTAAAGGAATGGACTACATCGACTCCCTAGCCTAAAGATACGGAGTGAAGTGTTCGGTGGAGCGTGTTGTCGTTTGGCGTTCGCTAAATTAAGCCACCTCTGGCCTATTAGACATGATATCCGGCTGGTCGGCTGGCTATCGATCAAAGGATGTGCGTACTGCTCAACCCGCAGTTCGCTCTGTCGTCCTCTATGGATGTGAAATATGGCCACTGAAAATGGAAGACATGAGAAGACCGGTTACCTGTCTTTGATCATAAGTGTCTGCCTTCTGTCTCCCGTGTTAGTTATTAGGTATAATAGGGTAAGTAATATTGAAGTTAGGCGTTGGTCGAGTATTAGGTAAGGACGGGAAATCAATCGATGATATTGTGAAGTTACACCGATTGAGACGGGTGGGACATGTCTTACGCATGCATTCCTAGCCATCGATCGCCTTCGTGGACGGACAATGTTAACCACTGACATAGGATGGATCATGTTGGAAAAGAGTTAGCTAGTTGTGGTGATGGTCAAACCAAAACATGGCTTCACCAGTCCATTAAATCCATGACAGTTAGTTTAAGCCAGCCAACCAGTCACGTAGGGAGATACAGACTGGCTGTCTGATTGGTGTCCTCGGGATGGTTAGTACAAACGACGGCTGGAGACAGTTGGTGATATAAGTGGCTTAAAATCCTACTCAATGGCTGATACAGATGCATTCACTTTTTGATTTGCCATATCCGATAAGAAGATTCTATTGTTCTTCCATATTACTACTATTCTTTTTCCCTCACTCACACTCCTGTTTATTGTCTCTCTCTCTGTCTTTTGAATCTCTCTTTACTCCCTTCTCTTTTTTTGTGTGGTACATGAAGGATGAATGGCAACTCAAACTGCTGCAAATCAGTGCAAAGTTCTATGCTGAAAGCAGTCAGTCATGCTTCAAACTCAGTAACTAAAAATTAACCCCTGAAGTCAATAATTCTTATTTCCACTGTCTATCTGTTTTCGACATAGAACTTTGCACATATGTGCGGCAGTTTAAGTCGCCACCCTCCCTCCCTGCAGCACACAAAGCAAGAGAAGAAAGTAGGAGAAATGCATATTAGAGACAGTAAACAGAGGTGTGAGACAAAGGAATAGTAATAACGAAGAACAAAACAGTTTAATTGGAGATCACAAGTCACAAGGAGCGGATGCATCTGCGCCATTGAGAATGATTTTGAGCTATGTCACCAATTGTTTCCAACCATTGGTTTTTACTGTCTCGAAGACCCCAACCAGGAAGTGTACACCTTCCTACGTGGCCTAAACTAACTGTTGTAGATTTGATTGACTGGTGCCATGTTTTGGTTTGACCACCGCTAGCTCTTTTCCGACCTGACCCTATATCAGCTAACATTGCCCATCGAGTAAGACGATGACTAGGCATACGTGACACATTTCCTAACCATCTCAGTCGATGTAATTTCACAGCCTCGTCGATTGATTTCCCCTCCTTCCCTAGCCCTTATTTCTACTATACATATAAAAGTTATAAAAGTATCGAAAATACACACACATAGCAGAGAAAACTTACCCCATCGGTTTACCATCTGAATGAAATTTTTTCACAATATCTTCTAATTTAGCCAAAAGAGTACATGAAGCATTTTGCGAAGCAAAATTTGATCTAAACATCTCAAAAATTATTTTTAAAAAATAATTATAACATACAAATTTTTAGCAACACCAAAACCTCCAGGAATAAATAATGCATCAAACTGAGATGCATTCAAATCATCCAGTGAGTGCACATTACCTCGAGCAATTCGTGCAGATTCAATTAACACATTTCTAACATGAGTATTTCAGATAATCTCTAATCTCTACCTCTTTTCATTCATAGTTGAACCATTCATATGATTGATAACATCGACCTGATCACGATCTGGTGCAAATATCGACAAATTGACACGATGTCTGTCCAAGTGAATCAGCATACTAATAATGTGCATAGTAGTAGTATTGAGGATAAAAAAAAGCTAACCTTGTAGCTTCATGTATCTCTGAACCATCATAAACACCACAACCATGCAAAATCTAGAAAAAAAAAGATAAATTGTTTGTTATTTCTTTCTTTTTAAACAAAACTTACCATGGCAACATTTCGACGTCTCGCTTGCTTTGAAGATTGTCTACGAATGATAGAATGTAAACTGGACAATCGAAACATGTTTGTCTTCTTATCGAAAGATATTCGACTGAATAAAGGAAGTATGAATGTTTATGTAGCCTATAAATAAAATAATAATAATAAGTATACGATAGAAAATCACGCGACGAAGAGTGAAATTAAAACATTCAACATAACATAATCAGTTACTGTATAAAAACAAAAGTGACACGCAATATATATAACTATGAAAAATGCGACAAGTGAACGAACAATATCCTTCCCGAAAACTATCTTTTCAGATTCCACAGTTGTATAGCGATGGCGACTCAGGGATCGACTTGCTACCAGGGGATAATCTCGTTGACTTAGAATATGCAGACGACATAGTCCTTCTTGACGAGGACGCTGACAAAATGCAGAGTGTTGGTTTGTAGGGATTTGATTGGTTACAGGATTTTCATTATGAGCTGACATTAGTTAGAAAACCATTGGAAAACCTGCGAGTACTGGACAGCTGCTGAAGAATCCCAAACTAGGACGAAACAGCTGTCCAGTACTCCCAGGTTTTCCAATGGTTCTCCAACTAATGTCAGCTCATGATGAAAATGCAGTCTTCTGAACACCTTGAGCAGCAATCTTCGCATGTTTGGCATGCGATTCGCTCCCACCATATTCAAGATGATGTTACAGGATTGGACTACACCGACTCCTAGATTAGAAATAGGAAGTGAAGTGGTAGAGCACGTTGACCGCTTCACTTACTTGGGAAGTACCATCAGCCAGTGCCAATGGGTTAATCTCTGACGAAATCTCAGCACAGATACAGAGGGCTAGTTTCGCATATGCCAGTTTACGCCGTCTCTGGCGTGGACTTTATATCCGACTATCGACCAATGGGCGTGTGTACTGCTCATCAGTCCGCTCTATCCTCCTTTATGGCTGTGAGACCTGGCCACTGAGAGTGGAAGACATGAAAAGATTAGCTGTCTTTGATCATAGGTGTCTGCGTTCTATCTCCCGTGTGAAGTGGTATGATAAGGTGAGCAATATTCAGGTTAGACATCAGTCGAGTACCAGCTAGGTAAGGAGGGGAAATCAGTCGACGAGACTGTGGAATTACATCGACTGAGATGGTTAGGACATGTGTTACGTATGCCTAGTCATCGCCTTCCTCGACATTGGGCAATGTTAGCTGATATAGGGTCAGGTTGGAAAAGAGCTAGTGGCGGTCAAACCAAAACATGGCATCAGTCAATGAAATCCACAACATAGTTAGTCTAGGCCACGTAGGAAGGTGTAGACTTCCTGACTGGGGTCCTCAGGACGGTAAAATCCAATGGTTGGAAACAATTGGTGACATGGCTCAAAATCGTTCTCAATGACAGCGCAGATGCATCCACTCCTTCCAATGAAACTGTTTTGTTCTTCGTTACTACTATTCCTTTGTCTCTCACTTGTGTTTACTGACTATATTATGCATTTCTCCTACTTTCTTCTGTTGCTTTGTGTACTACATGGAGTGTGGCGACTTGAACTGCCGCACATATGTGCAAAGTTCTATGTCGAATACGGACAAAAGATGACGACTTTCAAAAACCACTTAAGATATGCTGGTACAATGGTACGCACACGTCATCCTCCACTCCCTAGATGTACATACTTTATATGACCAAAGAACAGTTAGAAAGACAAAACAGAACAACAATTAAATTGTCCAAAGTATGGAATATATATTTTGGAATCAGTAACACTGACCACTGATGAGCGCTTGACTAACTCAGGATCATGCAAAAACAACGGAACGTAACACGATAGAATGTCAGACGGTGAGGATGCTTCACCACGTGCCTTCAACTTAACCAGTAAACGTGAGGAGTTTCATTTCAATAGATGGTGATGTGACGTTCCAGTTTTAGATGGGAAACTTGACTGGATTGAAAGCTGGCTCACCTTGAGATGAACTAACTCCCAAGATTTACAGATGAGAAGTTTGGTAGAAAACTCTGGCTGGCCAATTACTGCTCATCAACCAATATTAGTCTGTGCTTTGTTAGAATTATAAATTATTTTTCCAACTTACAGAGGGAGTTACAAAGGACAGATTTTCCGGACTCTCTGAGCAGACACCTAAGTATGATTTATATGCCACTCCATCCCGTCCAAATTTAAGATAAAACAGAACTAATAGTTACCAACTTTTACTTTGTGAATAGAGAGTGAAGCAGTAGAGTTTCATCAATTAAGAAGGACTAGCATCTGAGGCAAACTCAGTGCATTTACGAAGGTTAATTTGGAACTTTCCACTTAGGATCATCCTTGGATCAGGTGAGAAAACTAACTAATCAGCAAAAAGTTTAAGTACTGCAGAGCGATTAGCTCTGCTTCGACTCCTGCTCCTGAAATAATTTGCGAAAAAACGCAGGAGTCCAAGTTGTTTCACTTCATCAAAGTACAGACGAAGGTAGAGTCACATATGAAAGTATATATTACCTGGCTTATATCCTCATGATGCCAGAAACGATGATTGGAGGCTGTTTGTTATATGGCTAAAAGCCATCCAATAAGGGATTAATGTATTCACTGCTTATCACACTCATGATAACAAGATTTAAAATCAGAAATCCGCCAATCAAGGATGAAGTTCGAAGCACATCTGGCTCAAAATGCAAAGGCACAACCTAAGAAAATTTTCTCGTACATGAACTTCAGGAATAAAACATCCAATGGTGTCCCAAACCTGACTATTGACGATGACACAATCGAAGAAGATCAAGAAAAAACAGAAGCAATGGCAGACTACTTCTCCCAAGTCTTCACCCACGAGTCATCACTCCTTATAGGATCACCTCTGGCTGCATAAGAGGAATACGGGATAGATTCCGTTGACATAGACCAGAGTATCGTGTTCAACTGCCTAATGAAACTAGATGCAGGGAAATCAATGGGTCCTGATAATCTTCACCCAAGGCTTCTCAAGGAGCTATCAGCTCACATAGCCGGCCCTTTGACCACTATCTTCAAGCTATCTCTCCTAAATGGAGTGTTACCGCGTGACTGGAAAGACGCCATAGTAACCCTCATGCACAAAGGAGGATCAAGACAAAGCCCTTCAAATTACAGGCCTATCAGTCTCACCAGCACTTTAATCAAGACACTGGAAAGAATCATCAAGAAAAGCATCATCGAATATCTGGAAAACAGCAGCTTGTTATCCAGAGCACAGCACGGCTTCCGAAGAAACCTCTCATGCCTGTATAATCTCCTCACTGCAAGAGAAAGCTGGGTCAAATCAAGGGACAACAGAAGACCCGTTGACGTCGTCTTCCTTGACTTCAGCAAAGCCTTTGATAAAGTATCCCACAAAAGACTACTCATGAAGTTGGAAAGTCTTGGTATCAAAGGCAGACTACTAAACTGGCTCAGGGAATTCCTCATAAATAGGAGGCAGAGGGTTAGGATCAACTCGAAGCTCTCCTCTTGGACAGCAGTACGTAGCGGAGTGCCACAAGGCACGGTACTAGGACCTCTCCTATTTATTTTGTATATCATTAAGTTATTTCTATTCACCGACTCCCCTATGTCCTATACACAGATGACTTAAAAATTTAGAGAGAGCTGAAGGGCAACAGTGATATGTCCACGTTGCAAGAGGACCTCAACGAATTGTCACAGTAGTCCAGACAATGGATGCTCCCGATCAATGTGGCAAAATGTGCAACCATGTGCATCGGACAAGCAAGCACCAGCTCCTACGAACTAGAGGGAATAACACTTCCATCAGTTCAGACTTACTTGGACTTAGGTGTCATAGTTAGCCACGACTTAAAAACTACAGCACATTGTCGCGCGGTGGCTGCACGTAGTTTCAGGTCATTATGGGCAATTTGCAGAGCTTTTATTAGAATCACCAGAGATATGTTCACCTCCTTTTATACATCTCTGGTGAGGTAAAGACTGGAAAACTGTATCCAGGCAGCCAGTCCGTTTCTAAACAGGGGCTCACACATTCTAGAAAGGGTTCAAAGAAAGGCAACACGTATAGTTCTCGGCATGACTAATTTGTCATACGAGGAAAGACTAGAGAGTTTAAATCTCTTCTCCCTGTAATACCGTAGGCACAGAAGTGATTTAATCACAGTGTTTAAAAATTTAAATAATCACTACGGACCTGAAACATTCTCTCTTTTCCTTCCCACTAGATCGAAACACCTTAGATGACATAGCAGGAAAGTTAAAAAGCCAAGAAGAAATCATATTGCCGTTGAGTACTGGTTCTCATATCGAGTCATAAACTCTTGGAACCGACTTCCAGAAGTGGTATCTGCAACCTCAACTGATTCATTAAAGAAGGGTTTGGACAACCACAGAAATTTACTAGAAAAGGATTAACATAGGCTCCAAGCATTCTATCCTCAACAAATAAATCTAAATCTAAAGTGATGCATGGGAACATGAAATCATTCTTTCCACCTAGAATAATTCTGTTTGAGTTTTTCAGACTACCTTCATGGCGTAGAGGAACCATAGATTTTACCCTGCTTCTTGTTACTTCCATATGCTTAAAAAACAATGCACTTTGATTACTTATCTCCTGTTTTATCAAAATGAGGCCCAACAAGGTGGTTGTTCCTAAACATTTTAAACCTATTAGACTAACAAATAAAGCCAAAAACCCGATAGAGTTGATAAAATTCACATGTTACTTGACGACTACACAACACTTAAGTCCTGAGTAAGTCGAATATTATTTAGATAATAACAGGCATGCACTGCTTAAGAGTGTATTTTATGATTGATTTTATTTCCCTTCAAGAAAAATATCGCCACTAGGAAAATAACTAACACGTACGCCTGTATAAATTTCTGACAAACTCAGACAGAGGCTTAATCACTTACTAAAATAAAAACACGACTAACGAAAAAATTTAAAAAAGTACGCGTTGTAACGTCCTCTAATGACCTTGGCACGTCAAAATTTTTTTTTAATAATAATAATAATTTGCTTTATTCCAGAAACAGTACTAGTGGTACAGTGTGGAATTTTCAGCACATATCTACAATATTTGCATCTAATTTTACCGACATTTAAAATAAGTATTAAACAATAAAAAATAAATCTGAAGACACCAACAGCAAAAACAAAAAAAACAGGATAAACACAAAATAATTATGAATGCAAAAAAGTACCAAAGTCTACCAAGGTCTAGTGCAGTGTTTGTGGTGGTAGTGTGAGTAGTCCTGAATAATACAAAATTTCTTTTTGAGGTGGTGACTATGGCCTTCACAAACAATGATTGTCAGTTTAATATTGCCGAAAAGTATAGAAAATAAGAGAAACAACCACAAAACTAATAATTACGTGATGGTTAATGACACGACAATTTTGTAATACTCATAGTGCTGATATAGTCGGAACCAGTGGATACACAATAGAAGGAATATAGTGAAGTACAAAAAAGGAAGCCAATGTTAATAATTCAGGTAGCTAAGTAAGTTTGAAGAAGGAGTTCACTAAAGAATACGAAATAAGAGAGAAATAAAAGAGTATGAAATTATGTTGTTAATAACAAAGCAAGTCACAGGTTTCACGCTTAACATTGTCTCTGTCGCTTAGAACACGGGCCAAGTATGGTATCGTTGAGTTCCTGTACTTGGTTGTACGAGCATAGACTCTTTTATACTGATTTCTGGTTTTACTTGATGAGATACAAGGCGAGAGTTGGGAATAGAGGGGGTGTTGGGGGTTTGAGAGTATGGTTTTAGACCATTTTTCACATGTATTCAGATGCCTATCAACTAAGGTAGTCACGAGCTGGTTGAGATTAACACCACTAGTCCTACTAACTACTGTCAACATCCTTCTCAGGATGGAATAGTCCTTTTTCAGTAGACCAGGAAAGACTAACGGGGAGCAGTAAAGTAAAATAGGTAGGATACAAGAGTTGACAAATTGTGAAAGTAGAGGTTGGGTGATTCCGGATTGTCTAAGTTTCCTAATGTAGTAGGTAAGACAGAACACTTTCCTAGAAATCATTAGGATATGAGATGTCCAAGTAAGGTCAGAAGATATAACTAGACCGAGGTATTTTGCATTAGACTTAGTTTCAATTTTTGTCCCCTCAATGCAACAGTCTTCATGAGAACTTACTAGTGTTTGTAGATCCCGTTTATGCCTAAGGGAGAAGTCGACAGTCTGGCATTTTGAGGGATTCAACATGAGTCCATTTAGTTTGGACCACTCACTGATGTCCGACAGGAAGCTATTTAATTTGAGACAGTCTGACTGAGACTTAATGGAAAACGATACAGACAGGTCATCTGCATATTTGACGAAGTTGACTTCATCTGAGAGAGGTAAATCATGTAAGAAGAAGGAAAAGAGAAACGGAGAAAGAACAGCACCCTGGGGAACTCCAGCTTCAGTAAGCAATGGAGAGGAAGATGCACCATTATATACCGTGTACTGCATCCTATTAGAGAAGTAAGAGTGCAGCCAGTTGATAACCCAGGGCTCAGTTTGTGCTAGGCTAAGCTTGTTTAACAATAGGCCTCTAGGTACAGAGTCGAAAGCAGATGTATAGTCAAGGAACGTACAACGGACAAACTTGGCCCCTTTGTCTAAGGAGGATACAATGTTGTGATGAAACACAGCGGCAGCGTCCAAAGTACTTTTACCCTGTTTGTAAGCAAACTGCTTTGGATCGTTTGAGAAGCTTAAGGAGGGAACAAGTTTTAGTAACAATAGTTTCTCCATTAGTTTCAAAAAAGGAGAGGTTATAGCAATAGGTCTGAACTTAGCATTATTACCAGAGCCTGACTTAGGTACAGGGATGATTTTAATATCTTTCCACAGAGAAGGTACAACATTATTAGAAAAAGAAGTATTACAAATGTTTGTAAGTGGGTTGCTTAAAATATCAGCACATTTCTTTAGGACAATGGCAGGTATACCATCAGGACCTAGACTCTGGGAAGGTTTAAGAGATTTTAAACATTTAAGAACATCAGAAGTTTTAAAGCTATTAAAGTCACTGGTCATGTTATTTGTTACATTGAAGCTAGAAGGTACATTGGGAAGGCGGATAAAAGATCTATTAAGAGTATTTACGTCAATAGAGGGAGAACAAGAACTATGCTTACCACAACCTGTAATTTCTTTGAAAAGCTTCCACATGTTCCCAGGAGTTTTACATGACAAAATTCTTTGATTATAAATATTGTTTAACCTCTTGATTTCGGATTTGATTTGCATGTTTATTCTCCTAAGACCAGCTTTATCTTTAGCCTTGTACAGTCTCTCTTTTTCTCTCCGAAGCTTTTTGAGATGAGGAGAAGAGAAACGATCTATTCTTTTGAAAAGTATCTGTTTAGGACAGCATACATCAAGGCAGAATTTAAGATAGTCAGTCAGATTGGAAATAGTATCATCCAGAGTGTGTTCAGTGAAAAGTTCCCAGTTTGTGTCATTTAACATAAGTCTTAGTTTGAGCACGTTTTCTTGTGAGTAACATCTTTGTTGTGTTTTCCTGGAGAGATTCGAGAGGATATTAGAGTGATATCTGCTATATATCTTGGGTAATATCCGAATAATACAATGATCAGAGTTCATTATAGGAGCACATCTGAGTGCTTCATATATTTCCGCATCATTAGTAAATACTAGATCCAGAGTTTTATCAAGTCGAGTTGGAAATTTGACAATGTTGACATGACCTAATGATTCAAGAAAAGAACAGTCACAGGTATTGAAATCTCCAGTGACAACTGATAAAGAGTTTTCAAGATGTGTAACCGCGAATGCTGTGAATTCATCGGCAAAATGAGATATATCCGAGGCGGAACATCCAGGAGTAACATAAATGTTTGAGATGAAGACGTATTTAAACTTGGATAAGTGTTTAGGACGACATTTGACTGTAATACAATCAATAAGGTCACTAGAGAAAGAAAAACATACATTATTTGAAGTTGACCACTGAGAATGAATGAAGGTTGCGACTCCTCCACCTCTTTTCTTTCTGGAGCATATTCGATCTTGTCTAAACAATGTGAAACCATTTAGAGAAACCAGGTTGTCGTCATAAAGATCATGGAGCCAAGTTTCTTGTAATGTGACTATCGCAGTATTGTGATAAGTGTCAGATGATAAGAGAGACTGGAGATGCATAATTTTGTTGGGAAGTGAACGGCAGTTTGAACTGACAATAACAGGAATAGTTGTGCGATATAAAGGTGTCCGTTTGAGAGCACGTTGCCAACCACCATGATGTTTTCTCTTAGTTTTATTAGATGCATGAAAATCATATGGTTTAAAACATTTAATGAATTCATTACTGTATTTGATACGATTTGTGACCATATTTTGTTAAAATTAAAAATGGAAACATGATGTATTAGATGCAAATATGTAGATGTACAGAAAGGTAGCCCAGATGTCAAACAGGCCGCCACACCCAATATCCAATATTTTGTGAAGCGCTTGTATAAAAGGATTCAGTCCTTCTCACTGGCTTCATGGTACTCGTTAATTGTCTTCTGATAATAAGTAGATTTATGTGTGGTCAGTTCTGACAGTCACCTCCACAAGAGAAAGAGAAAGGTTATTCGACGAGACCGCAATCAACCGAGGAAACCTAAACCCACAGACACCCGTAAACGTACCGCCTAATCAAAACCTCTAGACGAAGCCAGTATCCATAGGACAATTTATATGCTGCTACGTCCTTGGAAGTCACATTGAAACCATTTGTGATAACAATACACCAAAAGCACACTATCAGCAGGAAGGTTATCCAGCACTCCCGACAGACAAGGGTGACAGGTCATGATAACCTGGGATTACGTTCAGCGTCCCAGCTTGTAGTGACTGCTTGATGTCCAGTAATGTCCCAGCTAACAAACAGTAGTGGGAAGCTTTTGGCTGCAGACTCACCTTAACGTACGGTCTGAAATGCGTAGGACGCAAATGGGAAAATGCCACCTGTTAGAAACCTACATCAATTATCCAATATCCAATATCGTTTTTACGAGCTAGTATAAACCAATTTGATTTCTTTGTGCTCGCCTCTTGATTGTGAGGTAGAGGTTCCTGATCTTCGGGAAACGTCTGCGTAGCTCGTCCCGTCACTCGACTGCCGTAGCTTTGGTTGACTCCAAAAGGATTAGTGCAGGGATTAATTATATGTGGTTTGTAGTATGAGGTGTGTTAAGACTGTTACTACTGTGAATGGAGTTGATCCCTTCACCAGTTGGCCCTTCGGTATCGTCGCCAGTGGAAAAGAGATAATAATAATAATAGATATAATTAGTAAAGGTATTCAGACTAACAGACAGAAAAAGAATAAGAAAACGTAACAAAAGTCAGTCAACCGGTATACATATGTATATATACCAGTAATAATGATAATAATAATAATAGGTGTAGTCAAAGCTGTCAGGAGAGTAAGACTGAAGGGAATGTGAAGAAGTAAAACGACCAGTTTAATTGTCTACCTTTGAATGGTGTATGCAATTTCAAGGGGATAGGCCATTTGGATGCGGTCCTTGTGTTGCTGCATGGTTGTCCAGCCTTCGTTTAAAGGCGTCCACAGATGGTGCCATAGCTACATCTGCCGGTAAGGAATTCCAGGGACGGCAAACCCGCAGGGAGAAGAAGTGGGAGCGCACCCGGGTCCTAGCCCTCTGATGAGCTATCCACGAGGGAGCCTATACCTACTCAATGGCAGAACACCTTTGTTTGGGTAATTCTGATCATTTGTTATTTTGTAGGCAGTAATTAAATCCCCCTCAGGCGACGGTAACTGAGTGTGAATAGGCCTAGTTTCTTCAGCCTTTCATCATATGGTTTATTTTGGAGACCAACCACTCCCTTTGTTGCCCGTCTTTGGACTCTTTCCAAGAGGTTGGCATCTCTTCTAAGCAGTGGGGGTGCAATAATATTATGCACTTCAAGGTGTGTTC